GTATTGTCCTAAGCCCTACTTTTCCTTCCCAGAAACACACTAGGATCTAGCTGTTAGAAGATGGATCAAGTTTCCACCCACCACGAGCAGGGAGCATGACCATTTAGGGTCTGTCTGTCTGTCTGTCTGTCTATCTATCTATCTCTATCTCTCCTATGTCTATTGCCCCTGACCCCACAGTTTGTCTTCTTTAACTGGTCATAGTGTTGAAGCCAATTATAGATTTTTATAGAATCAGTTTACAGGAATTTTACAATTACTGATCTGAATTTTAAAACCAATTCAGACGACTCTTTTCTATTTCTCTTTTTAAAATACTAATTGACTTCCTCTTTAGGTGTCCTGGGATTGACTTTTCTCTCTCTGGATCACAGAGATCTGGAGAGGTGGAATCTTTCATTTCTGAAAGATTGGCCTTTCCATTTTATCAAAGTATTTTTAATTAACAAAAGGCATAACTAAGGTGCACTGAAAAATGCTTTAAAACTGTTTTTTTTTCCAAAAATAGGCCTGTCTGCTAGTTTTCATTCAACTCATCAGAGCATGTTTATTCTAGCGACTAACAAGCTTTCTGATTCCATCAGCAAGAAAAAGATGTTTAACAAGGGAAGCTACCTTGCATTTGTTATATTTCACGCGTGAACTTGCACCCCCAAAGGACATCTTTTCACGGTCCGAACAGCAATGGAGATCACTAGGTAGAATAATGTGTGGCAGCTGTTCCAGGACTGTACACACAGGCATCTCAACTTCTGCTTGGTTTAATTCATCCTGACAATAAATTAGCAGAAGCCCCTCTGCTTTTCTGGAAGGAGTGTGACCATTTCTAAATCATCAGAACAACCTCCCAAATGTGCTCATTGCCACTACCCATGTACCTCTGCAGGTCAGACCCTCCCTTTGGCCACTGTGTCCTCCCCAGACAATGGAGAAAGGGAGGGAGGACCCTATGCAATGAGGTGAGAAAACTCAGCTGGTCCAGATTCCAGGCTAAGGAATTGGAGTCTGTTCTTGGAGACAACCAGCTTCAAGTTTCCCAACTGCACTGAGTTTAAGTGTGGCCTTGAAGTCAGACAGATCCTCATGATCTTAGAGAACTAAGTTTAATCTTTACTTTAATCATTACTTCTAGGGTCTTAAGAAACCCCAAGAGTTCTATAAGCTGCTGATGCACCCATGCCCACGGTCTGGCCCCTCCATGCACATGTGATCTCCAATTCACTCCCATGTCATTCAGGAAGCATGGACAGAGAGCATTGTGCAGCTATTAGAAATGCATGGAGTAACTGGGAGGTTGGGGAAGGGAGCACATGAGGCTCTGAGTCACCTTCTACCTTCCAGTGGTTCCACTACCCTCCCATCATCCTCTTTAATTTTCTGAGTCCCTCTCTAGAACAACCTTCAGGACTCTTTTCCTTGACATGCAGAATTTTGTCCCGCTACCCAGGATGGTGCCTGTCTCCACAGCTACCCAAAGCTGACCCATCAGGAACTGTCAAGAGGGTAGTCTTGTGGATATTGCCTTAAAATTTCATATGGACTAGAAAGAAGAAGGAAGAAAAGCCTTCCTTGTGAATATCTTGTTTTGAGCAACCCTTCTCCACGCTGCCTAATAATAATAGCAGAGTGCTCAGCAGATACAGGTTTGTGTGTGAGGAGACATTAAAATTCCCAGTCACTCGTGAGAACCCAGAGAAGCTAAGGGACTTGGACCAGTCATTCAGCTAGTAAGTGACCACAGCTGGGACCTGGACCCAGAGCACTTCAAGTGGGGATCTTGTGTATTTCCCCACCCTTTTGCTGCACAATATACACAGACCAAGTAGATGGTTCTGGTCCACTTGCAATCACACACTCGGACACCAGGTCAGTCTTGAGCTAAACCATAGAGGATGTTTCTTGCTGATGAAAATCATATCTGAGCCCCAAAGGGTCACTGGGAACAGAACGGGTGCCCCCTGCCACCCCACTTCTTTCCCTGCCTTTCTGTGGCTAAATGAGATGCAATGTCACGGGCTGTAGGAAGACGCTGACGATCCTTGGCAGCTCAAACCCACATCACCCGGCTGAATGTCACCCGCACTGTTGCAGATGTGGTCTCATAAATTAGGGAAAGGGAGTGAAAGGATGACTCTGATTTAGGATTAGAAGGGCCCTACAACCTTCCCCAGGCCCCTGAGCATTATGGGAGAGTGACCTGGGAAATCAAATGCTGAGAAGTGTCCCAAAGCATAGGCATCTTGTTTGAGGCATAGTAGACCCTATTAGCTTGAGAAATTGCTCTGGAAATCTTATTAAAAGAGACAAATCATTCCACATTCTCTCCAGGCTGAAAATATTGGGGGTAATAGACTTTCTCTGATGCCTTGGATCCATGCACCCCGTGTCAGGATCACAGACAAACTCTGGCAAGGCTAAGTTCAATGCAGGCAATAGAGGCAATTATTTTTTTTTCAAATGGGCAATTCTGATTAATTCCAATTTCTCCGGCCAGCCACAGATTTATCTGTACCAGTCCCTCATTACTGCGAAGGTTGCAAGGCAGAAGAGCCAATGGCAAAGAGAAATGAAGTTCAAATTGTGGGTTTGTCATTACTGCACAGCTCAGCAGCTGCAGACGGTCCAGCCGCGGAGGCCCTGTGCCCGGCCCTCCCCGCCCCCCACACATCGCCCTTCTCCACATGCTCCGTTAACCCCCGAAGAAGATGCTGGGAAAGCAAGGCACGTTGGCTTATGAAGCCTGACCTTGCTACTTAGATGGCTGATGAGAAGAATCCTTCAGATTTGATATACAGATTCTCCTGGATTCAGCTTAGAATTTTTTGACTTTTCAATGAAAGTGACATGCATTCAGTAGAAACCACACTTCAGATTTTGAATTTGGAACTCCTAGCCAGTCCCCCAAACACGAGGGCATACCTGATCTCTGCAGTATCTCTGTGCTGCTCAGCTGGGGTGCTGGGTAGGTTAGGTATATTAAATGCGATTTTGACTTAGGGTATTTTCAACTTAGGGTGCGTTTATGGGGAATTTAACCCTATTGTGAGCTGAGGAACATGTGCATGATGGTAATGAGATAATGGCAATGACTACGTAATAACAACTATTTGCACTCTCAAATAAGTGCTTATTCCATGCCTGTTGCTGTGTTAAGGGCTTTCTTGACATGAATTATCTCGTTTGTTCTCATAACAATCCTTCAGAAAAGAAGTTGGCAAAAATTTTCTGTAAAGAGCTGGATAGGGAATATTACAGGCTCCTCAGGCCACAGGTCCTCTGTCAACACTTCTTTTTGGTGATGGCACGACAACAGTCATAGACAATACATAAAAAAGTAAGTGTAGCCATGTTTCAATAAAACTTTATTTATAAACCTTTATTTACTACAGGTTTGGGGCAGTAGTATACTGACCACTGCTGTAAGGTGAATGATGTTATCCCTAAGTTAGAATTCTGGGTATCCACCATTAGGAGGGTGGGAGATGTGATTTTTCCCTCTCTCACATCTCCTCTTCTCTCTTCCCTTATAATTTAAGTTCTGGAGAAAGGAGAGAATAAAAGATATTTTGGCATGTGACTTCCCGGAATGAGTTTGTTCTCCATCAACAAAGGGGAATGTCACCTCTGCTGTCATTCTCTTCTGTGAAAACCCTGTACCAGAGGAGGCCACCACTACCTTTCCAAGGGTCACTTCTGTCAATCTAACTCCTTGTCTGCATGGAGTGTGGCCAGTGGCTAACACCACTGATAAGAAACTCAGGCCCAAACTTCTCTCAGAAGCCTTGGTGGGTCTTTGTGAGTTTCAGCTAAACCTCCTGGGTAATGCCCACATGGTCTTTCCATCACATGGCCCCTGCCCATCCTAGAGTGGCCCCCACAGGCCTGAACCCCTAATCTTAGCTGCTCTCTGTGGCCCAGCTCTGGGGATTGTGCACGTTGGCATCTCTATGCCCCTCTGCATCTCTATGCCCCTCTATGCCCCTTGTAAACAATCAGTACTTCTGCAGACAACCCATGGCCACTTCAATATTATCTCCCCAGTGGAAGTCACCTAGCAGCTCACCAGATACGGTGAATGAAGCATCCATATCTCTTTCAAGATGATACCCATACACATGAACAATTTACAATCAGGATTTCTCAGTGTCTGCACTACTGCTGTTTAGGGTCAAATAACTTCCCAGGAGTCCTATGCATTGGGGTGGGGAGGTATTGAGCAGCATCCTGGTCTCTATATACTAGATGCTTATAGCAATTCCCAAGTAGGACAATAAAAAGTGTCTTCAGACATTGAAAGAGGTCTCCTGGAGGGACAAAACTGCCTCTAAGAACTACCCTTTTAGACTGAAGGGTGACCATTCCCTATTGCTCTTGGCTATGGGTTCTGATTCCCAATCCCAGAAAACTGGAAAAATTATCAACAAGACCTGTCCAATACCAGGTGATGTTTCCTATAGTGCAAGGGAAACATAATTGTCCCTAATTTACATATGAGAAAACTGAGAACTGGAACACAAAAGTACTAAGCAGCAGAGCCCAAGACTCTCCTAGGCAAAAGCCTGTCTTTTAAAAAAGTTAGTCATTATCTGATCATGAACGAACATTGTAGGTTTTCCTGGAATGAGGGAAAGTTTGCCACAACTTTCATGTGAAAATAAATCCGTATCATATCTATTCTAATCCTGACAGCAGCACTTCAAGGTAGATATTGTTCTCTCCACTTTACAGATGAGGAAACTGAAGTCTAGCAAATCTAACAAAAGGTTTGAAGTTGGCCCAGCAAAGATCCTTCACCCAGTGTTTCTGTGTTCAAAGCCTCGACATCGCAATACCAAAAATCTCCCAAATAGGAAAGCTGAGTTCAGTTTCTATGCAATACTCTACCACTCTAATGGGTATGTCCTGCCAGCGATAAGAAAGGGCCAGTGATAAATGGCACTGATGTCCACCCCCTACCCTGTGTCCTCAGCCTGCTTCTGTCACCTCTTTTCTTGCTCCAGCTCTGTATGCAGTACTGGCCCGAGAAGACCTCCGGGTGCTACGGACCCATCCAGGTGGAGTTCGTCTCCGCGGACATCGACGAGGACATCATCCACAGAATATTCCGCATCTGTAACATGGCTCGGGTAGGTGCAGGGCTGCCACGGCTTGCCTGGTCTCCTTCACAAAACAGATGGAGGCTGCCGGGAGAGGATCCCACCCAGCCAGCCAAGAGTCTGTGTTACGCTCTCCTGATAATCTCTTCCTTCGGGAAGTGATGCCTTTGCCGATTCCGGTTCCATAGCCAGCGGTGACTCCAGCAAAGATGCACAGAGTGACATCCAGCCTGCCATCTGCCTGTTTCCTGACACACTTGCTGCTGTGTAGACAAAACTTCCCAGACATTAGCTCTTCCCCACGGTGCCATGCTATTTTGGCACCAGTTGGTGCAGACTGATCGGATATAAAAGCTCTGGGGTAGTCCAGCAAGTACTGAGAGGGAAACTAATTAGGTGCTTTCATGAGGATACTCCCTGGCTGAGAGGAGGAGCATTGGACAGGAGGGGGCAGCTTGGTAACCTATGAAATGGTAACTAACTGTTAGTCTCTATTGGGAGCTCAGGGTGAATAGAAGTCAGCTACTATCCTCAGTTCAGTCTCTAAAGGGAAGGTGAGATGTGTTCTGACATATGAGCCTCAGAGAGAAAGAACTCTTCCCAGTAGAGTCAGGGAAGATATTTTGAAAGAAAGGGGCATTTGAATTGGGTTTTGAAGACTGAGTAGGAAAGGGAATCAGTGTGCACAAAGCTGTAGATGTACGTGTGGGGATAGCCTGTGACTGTCCCTATGATGTCAAGACTTTAGCAAGTCTTCCACTATGCTAAAGCCCTCCCATGGCTACCCTCCCCCACCCCAGCCAGGGTATCTGGAAGGCTTACATCCCAAGCTTCCGCAGTACAACAGCCCTAACAAGCTTTCTGTTCTCAGCCACAGGATGGGTATCGTATAGTCCAGCACCTCCAGTACATCGGCTGGCCTGCCTACAGGGACATACCCCCCTCCAAGCGTTCTCTGCTCAAAGTGGTTCGACGGCTGGAGAAGTGGCAGGAGCAGTATGACGGGAGGGAGGGACGCACCGTGGTCCACTGCCTGTGAGTACTGTGGAGGCGTCTCCAGAGCAACGGGTTGGTGGGCAGTAGAGCACTCGTGAGGATGCTGCTGGCCACAGCTCTGCCACTTCTCAAAACCCCTGACAGGGCGAAACACAGCAGCCCTTTACTGGTTGCCCATTGTCCTGATTATTGTCATATGACATGTTATTGTGCAAGCCACGGAGGGGCAGACCACTCCCCAAGGCTCCCAGCATAGGGGTGAGTCCCACCCTCCAAAAGGAGGCAGGACGTGTCCCGCTAGTCTAAAGGAAGACCATGACAAGCAGGTCCTTCTGATAAGAGTCTCCTTCATTATTTCCTGAAGAAGAAGAGAAGGGAAAGCCTTAGTTAGCTCAAGCAGATGTTTTAAACAAATCACATCATCCCATCTGCAAGGCAGATATGATCATTCTGTAGTGAGAAAACTGAAGCCCAGACAGGAAGAGGGATCAGGAGTTAAGAGAAGAGATGAGATTTGCATACCCTGGGCTCTAAGATATACTGCCCCCCACTGAGCCACACTGCCTTGGAGAAAACCAAGGGACTCACCCACCTTGTCTGCCTCCTGGGATGTCTCTTACTACAGGCTTAGTGAGAAAACAGGGACACCAAGAGCATGCCAGGAAGATGCTCCTCGGAGGAGCTGACAGATGGATCTGCAGAACCTGGGAACTCTGTTTCCCCAGGGCACAGTGGGTGAACTGAAGTCTTCACTTCTTGTCTTAGAATGAGCACAGCCCAGAGACCCCCATGTTGTCATCTGAGGTGGGGGTCGGGACCCTTAGAAAATTGTGGCTGACAAGCTGTGCAGGTCAAGAAAATCACTTAATCATGGGGTCCTCACTTCCCTCATTGGGATGTTGAATTAGACCATCTTTAGACCCTGTAGTGCTCTGGTGTGAAATAGTCAGAAAATGAAAACAATATGTCTGTCAGCAAAGAGATCAACAATGTCATGCTACAGGAAATGTGGACCAAAGTCTTCCCTCTTACACAATAACTATTTCTGAGAAAGTAGAGACATTCATAACAGCTCACTAACCTCAAAATTGGGTTCGGTCTTTTCAAAACCAGCTAATTGTCCACTTTTTCTCAAATAGGCAGTGCACGCGCATCAACAAAGTCAGAGCAAAAAGGTGGTTAAACATACATATGCACAATTGGAGCTTCAGAGCCCGTCCCCCGCCCGTAGCAAAACCCCTTCCCAAAGGAGACAGATCATGAGATTAGAGTCCTGGAAGATGCTGTGTGGCATGCTGGGTCAGGCTGATGCTCACATGGGCCACACCATGCTGGCTCTCCCAGAAACTGGCAGCCCGTTCCCCGCTAACTAACCCTTGTCCCCTCCAGTTCCCTCCACGCATTCCAATGACTCCACTGTCAGCATAGGCCACCCCAACCCTTCAGGGTCTCACTCCTGCAGGCCCTGAGATGCCTGCATCCTCTTGACTCATCTTCTTGCTCCAGAAATTGCCAAACCGTCCTTCCTAGGAACCCTCCCTGCTCTTTTAGCAAGAGTGCCTTTTTATCCATATATCCCCTAGCCAAGGTGGCCAGCGGTTTGAATAGAAGAAAACACAGGATTGACACTGTGCCCACAGAGAATAGGAACCTAGCATCCTTGTGGACCCCAGGCACCACAACAGCCACTGAAATGCGGGCAGCATCCAGCAGAGGAAGGACAACTATCTGTACTTGAAACATCTGGTCATGGGATATCCTGTAGCTAGAACATCTGGGAGACTGACTGAGTGCCTTCGTTTCTGTCCAGATGTTCTTTAGACACACACCATTACATGAAATCATTAGCTGCTCTTGGCAATGGGCCTAGGAGTTTAGAATCAGGTAAATTCCTGAAGGGACTCTCTATAAAGAGTTTGAGGGGTGTTTCCATGAAGATGATTTATAAAGCTTCAGAAAGGAGTGACAGAGACATGGTCCTACCCAGAGTACTCTTTCCCCTAGACTCAATATCAGTAGGATCCTGCTCAAATGAAGATGTGCAAGTAGATGCAGCCTCCCAGGCCCACAGTCTCAAGCCTGGGCTGGCTGACCCTAGGCTGCCCTTAGTGGAGGGTAGGAAGACATCATAAGGAAAATCACCTGGCACCTTCCTTTGTCTTCACTGGATATGAAGGTAGACCCAGAGCATCCGGCAGGACAAGGACACAGATGTCACATGAACAAAGACACAATATCCTCCTGTCTTGTGGGCTTCAGCCAGGGTCCCTGGGTGACTGTATCATGCTCATGGAATCAAGGAGAACTAATTATATCTTCTGTGGTCATCCAGTCCAATGCCTCCATTACAGGAGTGGGGAACTGGGGCCCAGGTAGGGAGGGACTTGCCTCAAGTCAAAGAAGGTTCATGGCACAAATGGAACTCAAGCCAGAGCTCACCACTCAGGTTCAAATTCTCACCCTGATGCCTCATCTTGCAGGCTTCACTCCTACCATGAGGTGCTAAGATCAGCAGGAGCTGGGGTCGGGGGCACCCAGGGATGTGGCTCACCCCTTCACTCTCTGTTTAGAAATGGGGGAGGCCGCAGTGGAACCTTCTGCGCCATCTGCAGTGTGTGTGAGATGATCCAGCAGCAGAACATCATCGACGTGTTCCACATTGTGAAAACATTGAGGAATAACAAATCCAACATGGTGGAGACTCTGGTGAGTGTACCAAGAGCTGTTCTCCAACAGTTAGGGGCTGGCCGTAGTCCCTGGAATCAAGGAAAATGACTTCAGGAAGGAGAAACTTTCAACAGCTGGGTGTTTATCTGCATATCTATCTGCATGTCTCTAGGCCTGCCCTGTTTCTTCCCCTGCCAACCCAACCAAGTTTTCTTTCCTGCAGGGTAATGCAAATGTTCATCCCCGGTACACCTACTTTGTTTTACTTTCTACCCATTCCTTAAGAAAATATCACTAATTCAGGCTTAAAGGAAAGGCTTCTGAATTTGTAGAGTGTGAATTATGTTTGCAATTCAGTCCAATCCTATTCTAATTCACTTATGCTAATTTTTACAGTGTGGAGCATTGAACTAGGACACTGTAGAAGAAGGATAGTAAAGAGAGTGGGGAGGCAGATTCCCCAGAAGATAAGACCTGGTGCAAGGGAGGAGTCAGGCCATACACAAGGAATTTTAATATAAATGTCTTTAAACCTACTCAAAGTGTGTTCCTACCCAATGTGAGATCCCACTCAGAATCTGCATTGCCTGGGAGTGTGTAGACTCTTGAGCCTCACTCCAGATCTACTGAATCGGCATCTGCATTTTTAACAGCTATCCCTGGGTGTGTGTACACAGGTTGCCCTGTGAGAAGAACTGGTATGCAGAATGGTAAGAAGAAAGGGAACCATCCCAGCTGGGCAGTTGAGAAAGCTCAGGTGGAGTAGGCATCCAAGGGAACACTGAAGGATGTCCAGATGTGGATAATTTTGAGTTGACTTTTTGAATGGATGTAGGTAAAGTTTTTTTGCAAAATGCATATCTCAAATCTAATGCATTTTTCCCTTTCCTTTCCATCTCTCTCGTTTCTTCTCCTTTGTCTCTCCTCCTCTCAGGAACAGTATAAATTCGTATACGAGGTGGCACTGGAATATTTAAGCTCCTTTTAGCCCATGGGATGGGGAAACCTGCTGGAGTCCACAGGCTGCTGCAGCCGAGCCCCATTTTCTGTGAATGGCAGTGACTGGGCTCAGTGGCACAAAAGTGACACCCGCGCCCAGCTCCAAGGAGAAGACTGATGGTCCCATGTTCTGCAGTGGGCTCTGCACCTTCTTAGGGGGTTTCCTGTAGCTGTGGGAGATGCCGCACTCACAGGCCCAGGCTTCCCTTACACACCTGACCAGCCACAGCCCTGGGCCCAAGCAGAAGTGCACCCACAAGCAAGGCCCTGGACGTCCGGTTCCCAGACCTCTTGCTTTCATTCTTTCCAAGTTTGTGAATCTCATGGCAAGCCAACTGTGCAGGTGCTAGAGAGTGGGAGGCTGGCCAATACTTCTTTCACCCTCGTTCCCTTAGTAGTGTTGGGGATGTGGGTTCCGCTTCTCTATGCTGTTATGGATAAAACTGGGACCTTGGAAGTCATTGCTCTGATGCCCTGTACACTCTGTTCTTCAGGGGCCTCTGGTGCCAGATACCTGCCAGTCTGGATCAGTGTGACCTTGGAGTGGCCCCTAGACCACAGTGGAGGCCACTGTCCATCCTCATATTGAAACTGCATGGGGCTTGGCCCACTGCTATTCTGTACTCCTTTCCCAACCCAGGCCCTGACCTTCTGTCATTCACTGGCCAGCCAGCTGTGCCCACAGCACACACTGATAAAGGTTTTCCATGCTCCTTTGTGGTCTGTGGGAGGGGGTGCAGGGAATGTCACTACTCCACTTCATCTTTGTAAAAGGGACCACCTTCCCAGGGCAGGGCTCTGTCTGGTCTAATGTAAACCCTGTGTTTCTTGGATGATAGCTTCCTTTAGGAGGAGCCAAGAAGATAAGATTTGATTATTTTCTCAAGTACATGTGGAAAGAAACTTTCTTTTGAGAGTGTAAAATTTTAGTCTCATATGTCAGGAAATAAAAAAGACAGAGTGGGAATTTGAATGTGTAGCTACAAGATAAATCTCTTGAACCTATTTTATTTCCTGTCATGTCCTTGAAAGGTCCCAACCTTGGTAGCACAACCACGAGGAAGGCAATATGGGCTAGTCAGAATACGATCCCTGGGTGCTAGGACAGAGAGAGTATCAGCTTTGTGGAAAATCTGGATCTCCAAATTTGTATTCCCTAGAGAAATACAGCTGCCATCTTGAAAAAGGCCATTGTGGACCCATTCGTGCTTTGGTTTAAAATTGACCAAGGGGATGAGGCCTGGGACTCTGAGTCTTGCCCAAAGTATGGATGAGTCAAGAAAAGGGAGTCAACATTTGCAAATGTCTACTGTATGCCAGGTGTCATGCTTGGCACCATCCCTAGTGACAACTGGCCTAGTCCTTAGTACCTCCCATCAAGGAGCTATTACCATCATCTCCATTTTGCAATTGAGGAAACCAACACACCTTCCTCAGAGATGAAATCCTGAGTCCCAAAAAGGCAGGTGATGGAGCTGAACCTTCTCTGTACTATTTTCTTCAAACATCCCCAGCCAAGCAATGTATTTTATTGGAGAAAAAATAAGGCTAGAAATTTCTGAGCAGAGAACTCCACAAATGGAAATTTAATTCTTTCTTTCTGATGCCAGTTCTTCTGAGAAACCCAGAATTTCAGATATATTTTAGTAACTCATTCCTGGTTCTCCAGGAAAACTTAGTCTTATCTAATTTCTTCTTCATGAAAACCATGTTCCTTTTCCCTCAAGGAGTCACCCAGGGATGCTCTACCTTGATCTCTAGCCAGTGCTTAGGCACAGTATCTGGCAGCCTCCCGTAGCCTGGGATCTAGGAAGCCCCATCTTGCAGGCTAGAAATGGGGGATAAGGGGCAAAGAATTTGGTAAAGCACAGTTTTTGCCCTTTAGGGCTCACTATATCCTGGGAAAATTAAACCACTGCAAATGGTGTGAATGAGTATTACCTGAACCTGGGTGTGAGGCTCTACCTTTGGATTCCTTAAAGAGGCAAGATTCGTTCCAGCTGGGTCTCAACAGGTAGATAAAGAAGAAAAGGAAATTCAAGCCAAGGGATCAGTCAGTGCAGTGGCAAATAGGTGAAAAAGGCATCTGGAGGGACAGACGGTGGGAGGCCAGCCCAGCGGGAGCACAACAGGCCAGGGGAAAGTGGCAGGCAACGAGCCAGGGTCAGGGACACAGATACCCCACCGAGGGTGCAGCCATCACCCTGCAGGCAACAAGAAGCCTGCGGAGCTCAGCAATGATGTGCTCAGTTTGGTGTTGGAGAAGGCTCCCTCTGGACCGGTGGGGCTGCCTCTTTTCCTTTCATCAGACACTGTGAAAACATTCCCTTAAGCGTGTACTTTTTAATAGCATATCTATTTTGTCTGTCTGCTCATTATTTTGTTGCTGGAACAAAATATGCAGTGGATCATGAGACTCAGCTCTTGTGAGAAACCCAGGGTCTCTGCTTTATCGTGGAGCAGGGTCAGCAACCTGGGCCTCTATGCTCACTGGGACAGGACATAAAAGGAGCCCAGGGAAGCTGCTTCATTGGCATGGACTCTGGAGCTGTCTAGAAGTCCAGGGACACCAGACTTGATCAAGGAAGGGCTGTCACTTTGGAGGTTCAAAAGGAAACATCTCAAAGCAAAGGCAGGCAAAGGAACCCCATGACGAACTCGCTCTTCTCTTTTGATGGGCCTCTTCCCAGGTGTATTTGAGCAGGTCCCCAGGACCCAACCCCCACTGATCCTGCTACCTTCACCTGGCTCCAGTCTACTGCCCCAAATGATCTTCCCCAGCCTCAAGGAGCCTGCAGCCTATTATATGTTGTTTTTCCCCCGACATCTTGGGTGGAAGGAGGGCTGTTTAACACAAATCCTATTATTCTCCTCAGAAAGGGGTTAAACAGCTGACAGACGATGATGGCAAGCGTTTCCACCATTTCAAATGGCAGAAATTTAAAGGGTGACTTTAAATTGTAAAAACTCAGGCCATATGGGGTAACCCAACAAGGGCCAGCTCATACCCTCGTTTTCTAACAACTTAGTCACCCTCCAAAGGAGGCTAGTGTATGCAAAACAAAATGAAAGTTTCTTGGTGGAGATAACTTCTCTAACATCCCACATGGAAAATATGTGGCAAGTCTTAGACAAGATGGGGTAAGAGTGCCCAGGAATTTGGACTTGATCCCTTACCCAGGAAATCACCCAAGCTAACACCACCTCCCCAGAGTATCTCCTCACCCCATGGTAGTTAGAGGGTAGGCTTGACCTTTCATGAACAGTCTCCACAACAGAAGCTAGATTCATGTCCAAGGCACCAGAGAGTCTCCTCTCTTAGCAAAGATCTTCCTAAGATGTTCACCTCCTAGACATGAACTCCACTTGAAGAAGATGCAAGGAATTAATCCAGGAACTGTCCCCACTGGCATGTGTTTGTGGCCTAGATAGCTTCAGCAATCAGGAGCCTGCAGGTGTGAAAATCATGGGCCATCCAGGTCTTCCAGGCCCCCAGACAGCCACAGCAAGCCTCCCTTTGTGGGAATAGAAGGGAACAGCTTGTGTTAGGTATTGTCCCTCTCTGCGGTGTGGCCTGAGTAGTGTCCCACAGGATGTCAGACATCACATGGGGCCGAAAGACTCTGTGCTCCAATTATCCTAAGGAGTGTTTGTGATTCTCATAGCCCCAGCTTACCGATGAGGAATCAAAGGCTCCAAAGGGTCAGATCATGCTCAAAGTTCCACGGCTGGTGAATGAGCAAGCCGGGACTTAAACTGGGTTTCCTGATCACTGAGACAGTATTTTTCCACATTGTGTCTGAGTCTTTCCCATGGGGTTATCCATACCTGCAGAGACTAGAGTGAAGCAGATAACTCAGTGGATCCCAGTAAATCCCAAAGTGACAATGGTAAGCTTAAAATTCCTTAAAAAGTATCCTGGTTTACTCTAACAATTCATGTAATACCTGAAGTACACTTCCTAATTTGTTCTGATTAGTTTCGACATGACTGTAAAAACACTAAAAGAAAAAAAAATGGAACCCTATACCTCACATAGCTTTGATTTGTTCAGCCCACTCTGAGGGACCCTAAGGGAATGATGTCCCAGTCTGAGGCATAGTATGACTATGCTGCTTTCTCCTGAGGCTAATTCCATACTCAAGCTCAAGACCAGCTCACCCCCGCCCCAAGCAGAACCTTGGTGTGGAGGCGTCCTGACCTCACTGTTCCTGAGTTGACCTCAACTAAGGTCCCTTCCAGTTAGGTGTGGAAGAAATCATTGACCTCCTAGAAGGATGAGGACTTGCCCATCTGGCATGGTGAAAGCCAAGCTGGATGCAGCCTTACACAGCAGATTCCTGATTCCTGGGTTTTAGAAGGTGGTACCCATTGTCAAGGTGGAGGGCCAGCATGGCTGATGCAGGCAAATCTGAGGCTACTCCCTTCATATGAAGGTCTGGAGTCTAGAAGTCCCCTACTTTAGCCACACACACTCACTGGATTCCTGCAACCTGCAGCACCCTAGAGGGGGAGCCACCAGAAAGCACAGATTACTATGATAGGATTAGTATGGCACAGTGCAGCCCTCGGTGAGGGATGGGATTGTGGTGGAAAGAGCTCAGTCTTTGGGTGAACCCTGACTTTGCCATTTCTTGGCTATGGCATGGTGGACCAAACATACATGGGAAAAGGAACATGAAAACCTGCTTCAGCAGGTTAGAATGGGTAGTTTTGGAAAGCTTCGGGCAGGAAAACAGGAAGGCAAGGCCAGGGTATTGCAACACAGTGAATACTCAGAACCAAAAATGGTCATGGGCCATTGAGCAAAGTGGGCACTTCTATGACACAACAGGACAGGGGCATAGGTAGGACTTGTCAGACTCACTTAACAGGGGTGCTACTTTGGAAGAGATCTCGGCATCTGGGGAGAAGATGACTATCTTCCCTGTGGCCAATCATGTTTATTCATCCTCCATTTCTGGTTGCTGTGTTAACTCCTGGTGTGTCCTTACCAGGATCCCTATTTCCTATGCTCTGTTGAGAACCCCTGTAGAGCACTAGGTTTGTCAGTCTAGGAAGGCTGCTGCAGACAATAGAGGAGCAGCCCAGGGAGGAGTAGACAGGCACTTACCAGGTCATCTCTGGAACAGTGACTGCCCAACCCAACTCAAGTCCAGAGACATTAAAGTAAATGACCATTCACCTGGACCTCCCTTCCTGAGAGCAGAATGAAGAAACCCACCCTTCTTTGGTTTGCAGCTGGCCACTCCTGAGCTGGTCATCAGCACCAAGCTAAACAAGGAGTGATACTGTGGAAGACTTAGGTGACCTTAAGGGTGAGCATCAGTGGGATGCTGATCCTAAGCCTTAAGTTCAAAAAAAATGTACCAGGCCAAGATCCCCAGAGACAATTTGCTAACCCAAGCTGAAGGACAAGTAAGAAGATGAAACATAAATGTCATGTCATATCAAAGTATTGATTTGCCCTCCCCATCACCCAACCAACTTCTGATCAGCTCCAAATTACAGCCAAGCATAACAGAAATAGGAAAAGTAAATTCAACTAGAGGAAACCAGCTGAGATTGGATCTTATTCATATATTCCCATGCAAGGGCTCCCTGCTGGAACTTTCAGGTATACACATCTAGAAGTTTTCAAGGGCAGAGGCTTGGCTTCACCCAGACATCAGTGATGTCTATCTGTGCATGTGAACAGGCTCTCAGTTTCTTGAGAACCATGGATAGATTTTTGCATGGTACTGGCTATTCAGCTAGCTATCTTATAGAGATTAAGGTCATCTCTTGTGTATCTCCTGCCCACCTCCAAAAGAGGTTGGAAAGGGTAACAAAGGGGCCACATTCACCCCCTTAAATCCACCCATGAATGTTAGATCTCCAAGAGAAGGAATCAGCAGTCACAATGGGCCCCCACTCCTGGCTTTCCACCCTTCTAAGAGCATAGTGGTGGTCCACTGAAGCCAATACAAGGGATGTGGGAAAGGTCAGGATGGAAGAGAATCTATTGGAAAGAGCTTTGAGATATGGATAACCATCAATCATTCTTCTGTATCTGAGAGCTGCTCTGGGCAGTAGGAGTCAGAATTTGGTCCTTGATTAGAATATTCAGAGAATGAAGGCCTAGGGGATTTGGAGTATTAGGGAAATACTTATGTAGAATTCTGGAGTTCAGGGTAATTAGTGTAGTTCATGGTTCCTCAGAGAATGAGACTCTTGGATTTAGGGGAGGAAGAGTAGTGGATAAGGAACTTGCCAAAATCAAAGTCCCGGAGTTGTAGTACTTTACTACCTCTGGGCTCATGAATGCAAGCTAGTGGGCCCCGACTTGATGGTCCAATAAACTCTCAGTGCCCATTCTGCTCCAGTCCCTCCCATGAAAGGTTAATGGTGTAAAGTGTTTGGGCAGGTCAAAGCCCTCAGGGATTTCTGGGAGCTTAGAGGGAAGAGTGGCATCATCCTAAGTAAAATCAGGCTTCTGAAGGGTCAGGCAGAATACCAGCCCCCATATTCCCCAAGGAAATGCAGATTATTCAACAAAGTCAAGCACAGTTTGTTATCCCAGGTCACCTCTGTGAGTGAAACTAGGACCAGTGGGTGAAACTGAGTAGCTGTAGGAAGAACATACTAACTGCAGGAAAGCCCATCTCAGCAGCTGCCTGGTAGAGCCACATGTCTCCTTAAAGGGAAGAGGCAATGTTGCTTAGATGGCCTTTAATTCACTTCCATTCTAGATGGGTGAGATCTTGTGGTGCTGGAATCATGTTTGAACTCATTCATACCTGCAGAGCACAAAGCTGAGCAGGTCACACTTGATTCGTGCAGGTTGAAGCCTTCTGCTTTCCCACTCAAGTCTCCCCATCACAAAGGACAAGTTGCTGCTCTGGCCAGATATCCTGGGCTCATCCAAGTGGGTTATCAACAAACACCAAGCCAGAGGGAACAGCTGCTTTGCCACAGACCTGATGCCTATGGGTCTCACTGATGAAAGTAGCCATGACCCAGACCCAATGGACATCAGAGCCATCAGTGACAGCTAGATCCAGTAAAGGTCCAAGAAGGACCCAGAGCAGAGCTTTGCTTACCATAGACATTATCTCCAAAGGTTAATTCTATCCCCATTCCCCACTCAAGGCCTGTTGGAGCAGATTTCAAAAGCACAGTGACTCAGTAGATGCGTGATTATAATCATTCCCAGTGCATATAATTCATCTCAAGGTGGATCTTAGGCTAGGCCCAGTTAATCCACATTGGTAATCAAATTCAAAAGCACTTTTCTACCTTCTCTTTCACTCTACATCCTCATAGCCAATCAAAGGCAGAGTTGAGGATTCTACCATTGCCTTGGCTACAGGACACCCTCATAGCTCTCTAAGGGCTATCATGAGCTTCCCCTGCAAATCCAGAGAGGCTAACATTTGCATATCCACTGGGCATATGATATTGCATGAGACCAAAGTCTCCACGCTATTTGCAGCCTCCTCCATGAATCCCAATGGCCTGCACTTGTACAGTTTGGGTGTTTGATAGATAAAGCACGTATGAGAAGAGAAAACAAAATAAATCAACTTTAAAAAAAAAAAAAGCCAGCACTGTGCTGTCAATGTTCTTCTTCTTCTTTTTTTTTCTTTTCCTTTCCAATTCTAGCTTAAAAAAGCAGAAGGTAAATAATGTCAGGTCAATGAATATCAGATATATTTTTTGACTGTACATTACAGTGAAGTGTAACCTTTTTACACCTGCAAGTCCATCTTATTTATTCTTGTAAATGTTCCCTGACAATGTTTGTAATATGGCTGTGTTAAAAATCTATACAATAAAGCTGTGACCCTGAGATTCATGTTTTCCTAAGATATTTGCCCTGGTGTCTTCCTGAAAACGAGTGGGAGTGAGATGGGGACAAATCAAAGTAGAAGGGGAAAATTATGTAATCAACTAGTTTTTCAGTGTTTATGTTTATTTAATCTTCACAACATAAACAGAAAATACACATTATCCCTCTTTACAGAGGAGAAAGTTGAGGCTCAGAACTATCACAGGATTTACCTACACACTGAGTTAGTAAAAGGGTTGGGTCTAAAGCAGTGTTTCTCACATGTGGTTCACAGAGCACTGGGTTAGAATCACTGGGACATTTTTAAGCTCCTACAGAATCACAATTTCAGGGCAAGCTTTCCAGATGTATCAGCTAGCTTTTGCTGTATAATAAACTACCCCAAAACTCAGTGACTTGAAACAATAGTCTTTTATAGAAGTCAGTTGGGACTTAATTGATGGAGGGTGATCTCAGTTAATCTCAGCATGGTTCACTTACATGTTTCCTGAGGGCTTTATCCTAGGCCAGGTTAATGGGCTGGTATGGGTTTGCTCCTTGTTTCTCCCATTCTCTCTCTTTTTTTTAAAATTTTTTATTGTTGGCTGTTCAAAACATTACATAGTTCTTGATATATCATATTTCACACTTTGATTCAAGTGGGTTATGAGCTCCCATTTTTACCCCATATACAGATTGCAGAATCACATCAGTTACACATCCATTGATTTACATATTGCCATACTAGTGTCTGTTGTGTTCTGCTGCCTTTCCTATCCTCTACTATCCCCCCTCCCCTCCCCTCCCCTCCCCTCTTCTCTCTCTGCCCCCTCTACTGACATTCATTTGTCCCCCTTGTATTATTTTTCCCTTTCCCCTCACTTCCTCTTGTATGTACTTTTGTATAACTCTGAGGGTCTCCTTCCATTTCCATGCAATTTCCCTTCTCTCTCCCTTTCCCTCCCACCTCTCATCCCTGTTTAATGTTAATCTTCTTCTCATGCTCTTCGACCCTACTCTGTTCTTAGTTACTCTCCTTATATCAAAGAAGACATTTATACAATCAATCAACAAGTACATGAAAAAATGCTCACCATCTCTAGCAGTCAGAGAAATGCAAATCAAAACCACCCTAAGATACCATCTCACTCCAGTTAGATTGGCAGCCATTATGAAGTCAAACAACAACAAGTGCTGGCGAGGATGTGGGGAAAAGGGTACACTTGTACATTGCTGGTGGGACTGTAAATTGGTGCAGCCAATTTGGAAAGCAGTATGGAGATTTCTTGGAAAGCTGGGAATGGAGCCACCATTTGACCCAGCTATTCCCCTTCTCGGTCTATTCCCTAAAGACCTAAAAAGAGCATGCTACAGGGACACTGCTACATTGATGTTCATAGCAGCACAATTCACAATAGCAAGACTGTGGAACCAACCTAGATGCCCTTCAATAGATGAATGGATAAAAAAAATGTGGCATTTATACACAAAGGAGTATTACTCTGCATTAAAAAATGACAAAATCATAGAATTTACAGGGAAATGGATGGCATTGGAGCAGATTATGCTAAGTGAAGCTAGCCATTCTCTCTTAATAACAACAAACTAATCTAGACATGTTCCTCATGGTGATGGCTGGAGCATGAGAGAACATCCAATCATGTGCTTTGCCAAGACTTTGCCTGAATCATATCTGCAACATCCTATTGGACAAAGCTAGCTACATGGAGTACTCAGAATCAAGAGGCAGAATTCCTGCCTCTTGATATAGACCCCGCTCCTCAATTTTCCAATCAATGCTAGGATTAGACACCAAGTCAATGATGCCCGATGTAGCCTTTAACTCTAATATCAGAGTGTGGTCCATGGGCCTTCTTCATCATTTCAATGAAATATAGAAGGAAACATCTATACATATCAAGTCTAATTCAGTAGGTCCAGGATGACAGCCAGGAATATTCTCAGTTAAAAAATGCCCCAGATTATCACAAGATACACTAGAGTTAGGTAAGCCCTGTTCTAAATGCTGTTGCTCTCAGTGATGGACAGAGCAGAGCCTAAGAAGGAAGGGGACATGTGCTCTGCATTCTCTAGCTTAGAAGAAACACCCAGAACCAAGTTCTCTTAGATTACTTGTTCTTATTTTCTTTTTACATATACAAATGTAAACATGCACTGGAAACATGAGCCACAGGGCCACAGCTCAGGGTTCATTTTATTCTTCTTCAGCCTTGGAAACTGTCGGGATTGCTCCACCTATTGGACCCTGATGTACTGCCCACTCGAATCCCCAACTCACAAAGCCTGGAGAACATGTGCTTCCCAGCTTGGGTCCTAAGTTTGGAAGCTGGTGTCCAGCCAGCTAGTTATCCTTGTCACATTGTCCTTGGTCATTTTAATACTGATTCTGCCAGCTATAATTATTCTTTGGCCATGAATATAATATTGGAAAAAGAAACTTAAAAAGAAGGGAAAAAAATTCTTACACGATGCCTAATTACCAAAATACTTCAGGGCATATTCTCTCTCTCCCACCCCCAATGGAAATACCTTTTGAAGCATTATTACAAAACTGGTACTGATATATATATAAACATACATACATTTTCTACATAAATGCCATCCATCGGTATACTCAGAGACCTTTTTTCTTCTCACTTGAGAACATACTGTGACCATATTTCCATGAAAATGTGTTTAAATAAATATCCTTATCTTCCCTGACACCTTTCAGTATTCTTGAACCTGAGCTAACTCAGTTTGGGTACATGAAGATTCAGAGGTTCCTACAACTACACTGAGAAAGCCACCCCAGCTTTTGGGCCAACATTAACAGTGAGAGACACTCACCCTGTATGTTCCAGCCCTAGAGAGAGATGCTGGGATTAGACACCAGTGGAACACAACTGTGGAACCCTCCTCTTTATACCATTTGCTCCCTGAGTGGGTCCTAACCTGGCCTTCTGTGTGGCTGGACATAGAGTGTGGCCTACATCAGTCCTAGGAGCACCTTGACTGAAATATGATTGGTAGCTCCAGATTGGCTTAAGATCTTCCTCTAATTCCAGGGGCTCACACCTTCTCTCACCAGAGCTCCAGGGGACCTAGAAACCCTGAGTCACATGGGTGTGTGGCAATGAGGTCACCAACATGCCTCACAGGAGGCAAGAAAAAGGATTTTATTTCCTCTGGCAGTGTTTGGGCATGGCAAAAAGAACAGAAGTCAGTGAGAAAGAGGAAGAGAGCTACTGTGGATAATTTTAGAAAAAATTTGACTACTTGCTTTTTGGAAAAGGCAACCAGACTCCTCTAGGGGTTAGCCTTAGTGGCTTTCTCTTGAAATTTAGCAAAGGGACTGAGATTGGAATCTCCTTGACAGGCAATAGAGACATGGCACCCATGGAGAGATGACACCCATAAATGGAACAACTAGAGACAGAGAGTTGCATGAGGTTATAAAGCCCTGAAAATCAGTAGTGCCGCAGAAGGTTTCAACTTTCACAGTCCATAGAATGGGCATTGGCATGACGTCTAGCACTCAAGGACATCTGGAACTCATGGATGGAGGGATGGAGAAACATACAGAGAGTTATAGATGCATAGACATAGAAAATAAATATGTAAATGGATTATGTCTGATATTATTAGTAATTACCTCTCATCTCACAAAGCATAAGTAATTTTTATTCTTCTTTATAGTTTTTTATATTTTCTTAATTTATATATTTTTATATTTTTTATAATTTATATTTTTTCTTAATATTAATTTTTTCTTATTATTTTTATATTACTTTCTTACCAAGAAAAGTCCATTAATTAAACAAATGGAGAGAGAGCAGACTGTAAGGAAATGAAGGCCGGATAGACAAGATGACACCAACTATGGGGTCGATCCCAAAGACCTGCCACATGCTTAGATCAAGAGTCTCAAAAACTTTGCCTAAGAAGGAGGATATGGTCCACTAGTCAATTCAGTATCCAAAAGGGAAAAACTCAAATTCTCAGCATCAATAAAAGCACTTCTGCTACAGAACCTAGATGATTTTTTTCCAATAGTTCCCTTAAATAATGGCTTCAACAACATCCTTAGCAGAACACAATGCATTTCCCTCCTTGAAGGCTGAATGGCTTCATGCCATCAACCAACTTGGTGAAAGCTTTTAACCAAAGGGCCAAAATGAAGGGTCTCAGCTACATATTTCTCTGGAAGTCAGACCTAAGCCAGGTGTAGCTTTGCAGAATTTTGAGTATTATACTGCCTGAACATCACTCTGCATCCATGAGATAGAGGAAGGCTTTTATCCCAGACAATTATCAGCCAAGTAGCCATTCTGAGTTGCTGATTAAATTTGGAGCCTGACTTTAAGAGCCAGCTGAGCAAAGAACAGGATTATCACCCCTTTTGAACAATGAGGAGCCTAACAGCTCTATGTGCCTAGACAGAAGTAGAATACATCCCTCTGTGAAGGTGGGGCAGGAGGGGCCACTCCAGGTTATAAGGAGGACTGACTCCATCTCATCCCACTTTCCTCCAAACTATCTACAAATATGTGGTCAAGTCTGCCAGCCTGTGACCACACCTGGCAGTCAAACCATTGTGTAAATCTGGGAGGAATTTTCTCTGATTACAAGACACAAAATGAGAATCATAATCAGTGGTGGATGCTGAAGCACATTTGCTACCTAAAAGATGTAAAGCAACCTCAAAGAAGATGAAGTGGTTCATCCCTCCCAGGTGTCTGTTCCAGATGGTCCATACTCACTCAGAAAATTGGTCAATCGTCCATTTCTATCTCCTGGGAGCTGATTGATATTAAGAAAAAAAAAACAGAGTGGCAGAGAGAAACTTAAAGAGATGCATGCTGAGGATTTCAACTTTCATGCCTTCCATCTGTTTGGGGCACCTCAGAGAGAGGCAGGAAGAGATGGGAGCCCATTTTTAGTTTAGTGTGCAGAAGATTAACCAGGTAAAGCAGATGCTGCTGGGTACCACTTCAAATACCCTTTGGCCTCAACTCTTGTCTTGTCCATGACTATG